GAGAAAGAATTTAGCTGTTTGGAGACGGGAAGAAGAAGAACCAAACCAAAAGACAGAAGATCAGAGAGAACAATAAGAGAAAATAAGGAAAGCAGAGGAACTAAAGAAGGAGAAGATAAGTATATAGGACAAATGCTTAGGACGACAAAGAAAAGACCATTGTATTACATCAGAAAAAGCTCATGGATGAACTTAGAGGGTACAATGACATATCATAATGGGGTGGAAGTAGGGAGATGTGGAGGGGGAATGGGAAGTAAGGAGCTTGAGGCAATCTGAGAAATTTAGCTTTCAATAGGGCAACATTAGACTACAGTTAGTAGGGCTTGTGGTGCCAAGTAAAAGATTAAAATACTGGACGATGAAATGTGGAATGTGTTGGCAGAAGGGAACAAATAGGATAATTTTGATTACATTAAATTAAAAAGTTTTTGCACAAAGCCAATGCAAGATTAGGAGGAAAGCAGAACACCAGGAAAGAATTTTTACAACCACTGTCTCTGATGAAGGCTTCATTTCTAAAATATATAGAGAACTAAGTCAAATTTATAAGAATATAAGTCATTCCCCAATTGATAAATGGTCAAAGGATATGAACAGGCACTTTTCAGATGAAGAAATTAAGGCTACATATAATCATATGAAAAAATGTTCTAAATCACTATTGATTAGAGAAATACAAATCAAAATGACTCTGAGGTACCACATCACACCTATCAGATTGGCTAACATAACAAAATGGAAAAATGATAAATGTTCGAGATGTGGGAAAATTGGAACACTAAAGCATTGTACGTGGAGTTGTGAACTAATTAATCCAACCATTTTGGAGAGCAATTTGGAACTATGATATAAGAATGTGCATACCTTTTGGCCCAGCAATACTACTTCTAGGGCTGTATCCCAAAAAGATCATAAAAATGGGAAAAGGACCCACACGTGCCAAAATATTTATAGAAGGAAACAATTGAGGAATTAGCAATCAAAGATATTAGAGATATGGAGGGTGGGTATAGTAGCTAGGTCTTTCTGGTGGTAGTGGGAAACCAAAAGGGAAGTTTAGAGAAAAGTAAAGACATTTTCCTTTTTGAAAATAGGGGGGAAGCTGAGAGAATATAAAGAAATGACATAACTATGTATCATGTGCTGGAAGGCTCCTTCAGCCTCTGAGGCTTTTTACTCAGATGGAGTGCTATTCCTCTTTTGTGAGACAACCCATTCATAAAGCCATTTCAGCTTTTTTGTTCATCAGACATACAGCACAATACAGTCAGCACATAAAAGATCCCTTAGGTTAAAGTCTTTCTTTTTAACTATATTTTTCTTTGTTAAGAAAAATTCCCTCTAGACTTGTTTGATATTTATATTGGAGACAGTAAATTTCTCTCAACTCCTACCATGCCCTAATAGCTAGTGCCAGAGCCAGGCAAATTACTCTGGAGATTCACTCAGCAATATTAAAAGGGTGATGTGGAGCTGGAAACTTCTGACCTACATTTCTGTATTTATACCCATCTTATCGTCCTCCTGATGGGTAGGAAAGGGATTCCTAGAGGATTTACAAGATATAGCCCCATTCTTCTTAGGGATGTAAGAAGTGAAATTATCAGCTGTAAACGAGATTGGGAGAAAGGATTGAAGACTTAAGGAGAATGGAGGCTGGAATACATTCTGTGAGGATTATCAGGGTATTTATGAAGGATAGAGATCAGGACTGACAACCAGTGGTTGCAAAGCCAACTTGTAACTGAAAAGCACAAATCTGTAAACTTCTCTGGAGGCATTCTGCAATATGAGAACAGGAATGGACCAAGTAGAAGGCAAGTCTTACTGAGTATTGAAAATTGGCACAAATAAACAGAAATTGAAGGGGGCAAAAGAACCTAGAATGCCAAAAAGGTCAACACTGGAGTCCACAGTGGAGAATGAATCTGCAATGTGATTGGAAAGACATTAATAACTGGGATGAAATGATGGGGTTAATCACTTAGAGGTCCAAGAGAGGATAGATATTGGGCCCAGTGTAAGAAGCACCACTACATAATGGGGATAAAACGCCAAACTTGGAATAAGGAAAACCCAGGATCAAATCCTGTGACCTGATGCTTACTAGCTGTGCGACTAGGAGCAAGTCACCTAACCTGAGCCTCAGTTTCCTCATTTGTAAAGTGGGAATAATAACGTCATTCACACTCATCCCAAAGGGTTGTTGTGCATATCATGTGAAATGATGTACATATAAAATGCTTTATAAACCTTATGCCTATATAAATATATAAATATGAATGAATGACAAAGCATTTAAGTGTTTACTATGTGCCAAACACTGTAATAAACATCGGTTATTATTACTATCTCTTATTTTTCTAATTCTAATTCAGGCAAAAGGGATTTTCAGTTTGCTAGTTAGTCTATATTTCCAGGACCTGCAAGTAGGTATTGTAGGTACAAACAAACAGAGAAAAGCCCTGGATTTGAAGGTGAGAACATGGCTTGGCACCACCCTCAAGGGATGTTTCCCAGGATTTCCCACTCAAAGAATAACAGGATATCTGGTCAGAAAGAGACATCAAGAGAGCATCCAAGCCCACCATCCTGTAGCACAGAGGGATATACCTAACTCATTTCAGAGAGAGAGACTTCCAGGAAATATGCCTTAAACAGCATAAGCAAAAGCACTGGGGGGTTTCCATAATATAACAGAAAGTATCAACAACCCTGCTAATCAGGAAATTGCCATAATTTAAATCTGCCTGTCCCCCTACACAAAAGCCTCTATGTTCTAGCAATCCATATATTCAGCGTCCTCTGAGTTCATCGAGCCTAGCATCCTAATCCATTTGGGAAAAAATGTAGAAAGAGGAGGTAAGCCAGGGTCCCAAAGGAAGCTAAGATTAGCTATGTCCGTCCTTCCCTCGGTGACTTTGCTTACGTGGTTCCTAGAAGATACTCCCCACTCTTATTAGGATCATAGATTTAGAACTGAAAGAGGCCTTTCAAGATTATTCAGTCCAACTCTCCTGTTTCATAGGTGAGAAAACTGAGGCCGAGACAGGATAAATGACTTGCCTAAGGTCCCTCAGGTTTTAAGTGGCAGGGTTGGAATTTAAATCCAGATCATCTGACTTCAAATTCAGGTTTCTTCAGTCCCATCATCTTTCAAAGTCCAGTAGAAGTCCTACCTAACTCCATAAAGGTTCCCCGACCATCCTAGCCCATGGCAGCAAGTTGAATGAGAATATTAGGAATCAGAGGACCTGACTCCAAATTCTTTCTCAATGTGCCATTTTACTACTTATTGAATGGCCTTGGGTAAGTCACTACCTTTTTCTAAACCTCAATTTCCTCAATATTCATTTTATATTTTATATATTTACATTCATAAGAAAAAGCACAGAGGTAAAATGGGAGAGTTAGACTACATGGATTTTTGCCTTTTTTTTTTTTTTTGGTTAGGCAATGGGGTTAAGTGACTTGCCCAGGGTCACACAGGTAGTATGTCTGAGGCCAGATTTAAACTCAGGTCCTCCTGAATGCAGGGCCGGTGCTCTATCCACTGTGCCACCTAGCTGCCCCAGACCACATGGATTTTAATGTCCTTTCCAACTCTAAGATCTATGATCCCATAAGGAGTGGTCAAAACGACCTCCGGGCTCTGAATCTGAAATGAATTCTATGGTTCTTTCCCTAAACCCTGTACCACTCATGAAACACTTAGTTTTGTATGTATGTGTCCTCTCTGCCTAATTTTTATGTGTTCTTAAGGAAGGGACCATGGTTTATACTTCTTTATATCCCTGGCACCTAGCTCAGAGCATTTCTCATTGTGGTCTTTGATAATGATGATAGATACCTGGCTGCCATCTTCTGTGCTACAATCCTAAAAGACAGATAAATTATTTTGTCCTGTTGATCTCTGGGTCTTCTCATTCCCAAATTAATTTGCCCTAACCCCCATTTCTTCTCTGTAATTTTTTTTGGGGGGGATGTTAAAATAGATTTTGGAAAGGTAAGAGCCAACCCAGACCTTTCCTGTCAGAACCAATCCTATAAGCACTAAGCACCTACTAGGTGCTAACCTTCCCCAAGGAGGCTACTCCTACCATAGTATACATGCACCCAGGACCCCTCTCAGGCACCGCCATTCCCATTCAGGACTCACTCACATCTTTTCCCCAAAACCTATCAGTCACAACCTAGAATAAAGGGGACATTTGTCCTTTAAGGACAACCGTCCCGCAATTCATGGCCTATAAGCTAGTAATTGTTTAACAAATGGCTCTCCAGAATACCCAGGACACACTTTAAAGTTTAATCTGGGGGGCAGCTGGGTGGTGCAGTGGATAGAGCACCAGCCCTGAAGTCAGAAGGACCTAAGCTCAAATCCGGCCTCAGACCAAACACTTGACACTTACTAGCTGTGTGACCTTAAGCAAGTCACTTAACCCCAATGCCAAAAAAAAAAGTTTAATCTGCATTACGAACGTTTTCTCCAACAGTTTCTTAAGTCTAGACAAGCACCAAAACAATAAATCAAGTCCTAATTTGTAGTTTGCCGATTTCCAAGGTGTAAATATTCATGTTGAAAATTTAACAGCTGGCTCTTGGGATCTAGTTGGAGCTCACTCCAATACACCCTTCCCTTCAGTCTATAAGGCCCCTCCAAGTCACCATCCCATCCTGTCTCCTAAGCCTCTCCACATACTAATGGCATTCCACAGACTTAGAACAGATAGCGGACTGAGACAGTAATTATAGGAGCTTAGGGAGGGTTGAGGAGACTCCCTTCTCTGAGAAGCCCAACCCCTGCCCCTCTACTTTAGGACTTCAGACACCTTCACTAAATCACTGGGTACAGAGGAAACAAACAGCTCCAGTCAGTATTTTAATAATTTCTCCCCACCTCCCACCCTTCCAAGGGCTGTTCTTTTGTAAGGAAAGAAGGAAGAGGCTCAACCTGGGTTTCGCGTACTTATTTTATTTAACATGTTGATAACTGTATTTCGACAAAATCAGTATCCTTTGTAATCCTATTTTATTTTGCACATTTAAAAACATGAATTCTGGGGAGGGGAGTCCATAGGCTCTACCTAACTCTCGAAGGAGACCTTGACCCAAGAAAGGTGATGACCCATTGCTAGGGTGCCGGATTGTGTACTTGGTTGCTGCCTGAGAACACTCTCAAAAAGCTCAACAGCTTTGAAGATAGAAAGCCAGCCAGGATTTCCTGGGTTCCTGTCTTTTTTTGCTGATGCATTCACCCAATAAACTGACAAGCCAAGGAAATGGGCACACCTGTCATCACAGTCTAGTAGGATCACAGGAGCCCAGATCCAAAGCTGTAAGGGACCTCAGAGACCATCTAGTTGAACTCCCTCATTTCACAGATGAGGGAACTGAGGTCTAGGGGGTTTAAGTGACTTGCCCAAGGTCACCCAGGTAGTAGTAAGTGGCAGGGGCAGCATTCGTACTCGGGTCCTCTGAGTCCAGAACAGCTACTGTCACTCCATTTTCTGACTGGGTTCTGCTTTTCCCCTCTTGGTACTTTTCTCCTGTTTCTGCTTCCCATTGGGCGTAGAGTAAGGCTTCCCCTTGGGCACCCGATACTTGTTCTTTTGATAGTAAAACAGGTTCCTCTGGAAAAACCGGGGAATGTTGCCCTGATATAGTAGGACTGCCACAACCATCCCTGGAAAAAAGAAGACTTTATGAGTAGTCTAGGGAAGCCTGTAAACTCACTATCCAGCTTGACTTAAAAGGCACTGTACCCATGCAATGCAGACCTCCCCACTCCAGGCCTCCCTCCAGAGCCTCACTAGGGCATGGAGAAGACCTGGGATTCTCAAAGGCTAATGAAACTTAGAGACCACCAGCCCAGGATGCCCAGCCAAGCTCAGCAGGTTCCAATGATGGACTGGATTGCTCATTATTTGAGCGCCAGCCTAACTCAATTTGGGGAGGCTCGTAAACAGGTTGGGCATTTTTGGTCAAACAGATCATCAAAGCCACATGCAAAGCCATCGAGAGATTACCACTATCATCTGCAGTGACAGAGGGAGTACCCACAGAGGTGTTAGCACAGATCCGGCCTGAAAATACTGAGGTAAATGCACGTGTAAAGGATACCATCACAGAATTATTATCAGGAGCTGAAGGCCGTCTACAGGCCATCTAATCCAATTACCTCATTTTACAGATGAGGACACTGAGGCCTAGGGAAATTAAGTGACTTGTCCACAGTCCTACAGGTAATTAGCATGACGTCAGGCCTTCCTCCAAGGTTTCAGTGTACCTTACGTGGCTTTACTTTCCCATGAGTTAGGTCTATATTTTAATACTTCAAATCATTATTTAATATTCAGTTTGAGTCATTCCATTTTGTTCCTTATTCATTTACTAAATAGTTAAATAGGGAAAGGTGGTGAAATTATTACTCTAAATAAGGTGCTAATCATCATGTGCCTTTTGCTCTCCATGACCCAATGAATCTAAAGATTAAAAAGATTATAGCTTGTTGAAATGAAGATGCATCCATATATACACATACATAATAATTACATGTACTTATATGTCATATATAGTCATCATATATACTGATATGTGAACTTACACATTCATATAGCTATTTATATATAGTCATATATGTACTTATATATGAACTTGTGTATATATATATATACATGTACATATTTGTTTTATATAGTTGTTATACATATTTGTATATTTAGTCATAATATATACTTAAACATGAACATTTGTATATATTTACACATATTTATAGTCAATACATATGAACTTGTATGAACTTTTACATCTATGCATATATGTGTTTACATAGGATATATTAACTTTTATGTATATGTTCACATGTTTATTTTTAGCATCACTGTATAAACATACATGTAAACTTTTACATATATATTTACATATAGTCATTATATATACTTATATATGTATAAATTACATATATTTACTTATATAGTCAAAGTATTACATGGACTTATATATACATATATGTTTTATATTGTTATATGTTCTTTTATATATACATATGTATTGTCATCTTAAATAACATCTGCCCTAAAATATCTCTTACTATATGGTCATAGAGTCATTCTATTATTATGCTGGGTTTGGAACCAGAGGATGTGGTCTCAAATCCTGATTCTGCCCTTACTATCTGAGTGGCTTTGGGCAAATGACTTCACCTCTCTAGACCTCAGTTTACTCATCTGTAAACAATAATACCAACAATAATAATAGCATTTATATGACTCTTTAAGGTTTATAAAATGTCATCTAAACATCTCATTGTACTCACAATAACCTTGGGGAAAAGGTGCTACTATTATCTCCATTTTATAGATGGGAAAACTGAGGCAGACAGAGGGACTTGCCCAGAGCCACACAGTCTGAGGTTGGATTTGAACTCAGGTCTTCCTGACTCCAGGTCTAGCACTCTATCCACTGTACTTCCTGGTAGCCTCCAATTAGAAGGTTGTACCAGATGGCCTCTAAAATTGCTTCCAGTTCTAAACTTGTGACACTCACATTGCCAACTTTGTCCTAAACAGATTCAAACCTGTAGACTTGATCAATGGTGTGAAATGGACCCCTGACTCCCCTTAAGCTTTTCTTACCTGTGAGAGGGCCCAAGCAATAAACCTGCGTGTAATCCAGTAAAGTATTTCCAGAGCAGTGAAAAGTCACAGCGGATGCTAGAGCAGGGTTGAAGAAGGCAGAAGTGAATGGGCCAGCTGTGGAAAGAATAATCCAGAGTGACGGCGTTCCATTGGTTTTAAGTAGCCTCTCCATGATACTATCTCAAAGGATGCTCAGGCTGCAGGGGCCCTTGGAAACTGCCCCTCCCTGCTGCTTGAAAAATAGCCATTTTAACTAACTTGTAAAGATCATTTCAGACAATTGTGGTTTTGCTTCTTCTTCCAGCTGGCACTTAGGTAACGCCTACAAAGAGCAGGCCAAAGTCTCTCTAGTGAATCTCATCCACCTCCCTGTAGTCCTGGCTGGAGAGTTACCATGAAGAGGCAAAATGTGGAACTTTGTAGAATATTGTCCTTGGCCCCATCGATCAATAGATAACTCAAGAGAACAAAGCTGGTTCTGAAGTACCCTAGTCTACTAAGCTGCCTGAGAAATCCTGTTTTTTTTTTCATTTGGTCTTTCACCCTTTTTTCTGCAATACAAGAAACTAGAAAGAAAAATGTTTGATTGTACAACATTAAAAGCAACCAGCCTATCTCAGAGTATATCCAAACCTACAGTCTAAAAGGAAGTTAAATTTCTCAGCCTTAGAAGACTGTTCTCTGATTCTTCCCTGAAAAGTTCTAAGAGGAACAGAGTTATGAACTCCAACCCTTCTTTCCCATATAAAACTGTACTAACCTTGAGAGGGGCAACATGACAGTTATACATAACATAATAGCTTGAGTGCTGAATTTGAAATTTGGAAGCCTGGGTTAAAATGCTATGGCAGACATTTACTAGCTGTGGAAACAAGTCACAAACTCTCTTAGACTCAATTTCAGCATCTGTAAAATGGGGGGTGGAGGGAGAGGATGTGTTTATATTTACATTAGCAGTAAGAAAAAGCACTTTGCGAATCCTAACAGAGTACACAAGCATGAGTTTTTGAATTATCCTCTCTTGACCCACACAATTAGCAAGCAATTAACAAAATGACTCTGTGATCTAGGTTTGTGTTCACCAGGGTTGATATTTATTCACGATAGGGGGTTGCAGTAGCATGTTCCTTGCATTTTTCAAGAAGGGCTAGTGGACTTGGGCTCATCCTTCCATTTTCTTTTATATTTTATAATACTATGGATACCTTTGCTATTAGGCCACAATTTAAATGGATAACCTTAGAGGAAAGAAGCCAATTAATCTAATACTATAACTTTGGGGAAAGTTGTATTCCTATTTCTTAGACATAAAATGGCCTAATTGAAAGAATACTGAATATAGAGTCAGAAGGGATCCAGATATCCCTCATACTAGCTATGTGACCTTGGGAAAAGCATTTAACCTTTGTGGATTTAAGTTTCCTTACCTGTAAAATGGAGATAGTTTTTGTACACTGCATGCCTTACTTCACAAGGCTACTGTGGGAAAGACACTCTGCAAACTATAAAGTGCTGTAAAAAGACTAGTTATTTATTTTGTATGGGCACACCCCTTTAAGAGTACAAGGCAGCTAGCTGGTAGCACAGTGCCAGAGTTGGAATTGGGAAGTCATGAGTTCAAATCTGGCCTTAGATGCTAGCTGAATGATCCTGGGCAAATAACTTAACCATCGTCTGCCTCAGTTTCTTGGGGATAATAATAGCATCTACCTCCCTTGGTTGTTGTGAGGATCAGATGAGATAGTATTTATAAAGCATTTTGCAAACCCAAAAACTATATACATGTTACCTATGATGATGATAACAATTCATTATAATAATAACATTTATTTAGTGCTTAGTATATGCCAGGCACTACTAAGTGCTTTACAATTATTATCTAATTTGATCCTCACAGCAACCCTAGGGGCTGGAGGTAGAGAAGGGGTAGTTGCTATTATTATCTTTACTCTACAGATGAGGAAACTGAGGCAAACAGAAGTTAAGTGAGTTGCCCAGGGTCACGTAGATAGGGTCTGAGGTTACATTTGAACCCAGGACTTCCTGATTCCAGGCCCAGGGCACTATCCATTGTGCTATTTTAAAAAGTAGTGAGTTGGCTCTATTTTTCCGTGTGTGGGGGGGGGGTATGTGTGGATGGACAGATAGTTAGATGTATATGTGTGTATGTTTGACCCCCTCATTTTACAGACAGGGGAAAATGAGGCCCAGAGAAGTAAAGGGATCTGTCCAAAGTCACACAAGTAGTAAGAGGCAGAAATGTGATTGGAATCCAGACTCTCTCACACCAAGTCTAGCATTCTCCATTCTACCAACACTGCACTATCTTATCATTAACAAGCTAGTAAGTAATTTTATAGATTTTTTTTAGTCCCTAAACCAGGTAACTCTAACTTAGCTCCCATTGTTTTCCCTTGTCCCTTAGAGTTATCCCACACTTCCTACTTGTTCTGATGCTGTAATACTACTATCTGATTTCCTTTTCCTTCTCCCTCTGCCTCCTCCACCCCCCAAAGTATGGTCTGAATTTTTAATTAAATTGAATAAAAAACTCACTTGGTTTGGAGAATTTCATGACATCACTTGAAGTAACTGAATCGTTCTCACACATTCTGAAACTAGGGCTGTGATTCACTCCACCAAAAGCTAAATAAATGTAAGAATTGGTTCTTAGCCCCCTCTCCCAAATGGCAAAACAAAGCTCAACAATTTCAAAGACTCCCTGACCTTCTTTTTCTGACTCTCCCCATTACACACCATTATATACACACATGCCACTTCCAACTACCTCTTGGTCCCTAGCACTATGCCCAAGAAAACAATATAAAACAAATGGCTAACCAAAAAAACAACTAAAATTCTCTTATTTCTTAAGATACACTCTACTTGAGTTTTGTCAGAGTAGCTGTCTGATTTCTATTAAGTACTGACTATTTAAATGAGTGCTTCTTTTCTCTCCAGTAAAGTAACACTGCTTCAAGGGATAACCTTCCTCCCTCTCTCCACCCAACCTGGACTCTCAAGGAGAAAATTCTCTCACCTGTATAAGCCAAGATGGTGACAATGAGAGCCACAGCTGTCACCCTGTAGATAAAAAAACTGTGCTGAAATAGGAGGAGAGTTAAATGGAAGAAGAAAGAACAGGTGGCTTCCACCAAGGTGCCCTGGCCCACTGACGTCCGCAGGGAGGAGCTGCAATCTCTGGCGATCAGATTCTGGATTAGATGGAAATCTGTCAATTCCCAAGACCAATAGAGATTGGTCAAAATGCAGCTAGCCTTCATCCCCAAAAAATGAGCCAACAGTTTGACAGCCGTAGTCAGCAGAGAGGATTCTACCATCAGGAATTCCTGGATGGACACAGCTGGGTTGGCAGATGCACCATCAAAAGACACCCCGTGGACCAAAAAAAGCAGAAAGAGAAGAGTTAGAACCACATCTGGGCCAAAGCCGCCTCCCCAGGGCCCAATCTCTACTAACATCCTTAGTTCCAGGCAACATGCACATAACTGGAAGGCACTTGCCAGCTCCCCAGCAAAGCTGCTGTAGATTTTCTGTGGGAGAAACATCTTGGAAACTCTTCTAGCCCCTTCACAGAAGGTCACAATAACAAAGAAGAAGGAAAGGGAGACGTTCAAACCAGCCATCCAGGAATCCTCACTAGCTAGTAGAAGCAAGGGAGTGTCTAGACTGGACTAGACAGGAAATCAGGTCAGAAAACCCCACCTCTTTTAACATAGAGGTGGATATTAAGCTAACGTGGCAAAAACTAACATTCAGGTCCATAAGGTCAAGGAGGCTGGAAGGAAAATTCACATATGGCAAGAAGCAAGCAATGCTCACCCCCAAAATATTTTTTCTCATCTACAATCCCATCAGCCACTTGATCTTCAAAAACTTGCTTCTCCTTCAACTAAAATGTTTCAACAGTGGAGAGCTACCTGTCAGAGAGGTATACACAGACACAGGCTACCCAGATGAGTGTTCGTGAGTCACACCATAGTAACTGTCTACTTTTTCTTGTGCTGCCGTGGGAAGATCAGAAACAGCTTGCTCAAAGCATCGTACATCCAAAGTTTACTCATGGTACTTTCATTCATTTCAGCCTCCTGGACTGTGACTCACCTCTGACCCTTCCTGAAATGATGAGAATATGATTTTGACGCAAACACCGATGTTAGTGAATACTAGTTTTATGGAAGGTAGTATATGAACTCTTTCATAACCTTGGTGTTGGGAGACAAGACAGACTCCTGTTAATTCTGTTTTAAAAAGCCGCAATAAAACTATGCTGTAACAAAAAAAAAAAGCTGCTTATATTCAGATGGTGCTTTGTAATCTATAATGCACTTTTCTCCTAACAACCTAATGTGGTAGGCAGTGTATATCTTTTCACTCCCCTTTTACAGACAATGAAACTGAAGCTAAGCAATATGCCAATGGTTCTTTTAAATACAGAACTGAGTATGATATGACTTTAAAAAGTAAAAGCGTTTAGGAACAGCTAAAATGAGGTGCGAGAGGAAGAACCAACATAGAGGAATTAGATGGGAAAGGAGGGCTGGTAGTTCTGGAAACCTACTTTCATCAGGAATGAGTTCAAAAGGGAACAACCCATATGTATCTAGAAGAGTACAAAAGTCTTCTAAATCCAGAAAGAAATAAAATGCTAAGGAGATAGGGGGAGGGGAGAGGGGAGAGGATAAGGGAGGGATCTTTAGAGGGGAGAGTGATTGAATAGATCAAAGGTAGGTATAGAAGGGTGTTTAGATTTATGGGAATGGGAGGATAGGGGAGAGATTCTTGGAGGGCGGTAGGTTAGGTAATAGGAGTGCAAAGTAGAGGGTAGAAGTAAAGTAGAGGAATTAAGAGGGATAGGAAATTAGAGAAACGCACAAACTAAAAACAAGGATCAGAAATAGAATTTGTTAGGGAAAGTCTATGTCTATGTATGGATAGATGGATGGATATACACATATACGTATGTGTATATATGTGTATCTATATTTTATATATATATGTATATATATATGTGTGTATATATATATATATATATATATATATATATATATATATATATATATATATATATCCATGCTTATTTGTAGCCTGGGGGAAGTGGAAGGGAGAAAAAGAACAAAGTAAAAAGTGCACAGCAGAGAACAAAAGAAAACTAACAAGGAAGCAAAGACAGACAGCTCTTAACACAACACATAGTACTTATTATAAAGGCTTTCTTGAAATGGAAATTTATTGCTATATATTTTGAGTGCTGTCTTACATTCTGCTGTGCACGACATACTTTTTTTTCTTATTATGTATTTAAGTTTATGTTTCTTTTTCTTTTCTTATTGTGTATTTAAGTTTCAGTAATAAAATTAAAAAAAATGGAAAAAAGATAAAAATCAAAAGTGAACCCTGTGTAATTATAATGACCAAGGCTGACCCTGGAAAAGAGTTGAGAAAAAGCACCTTTTCCTCTTCACTGAAGGGATGAAGGGCCATGAACATGGAATAGTTGGTTAGTTTTGCTGAAATGCTTGCTTCTCTTTCCAAAAACTTTCTTGTTACAAGGACTGGCCCATTGTATAAAGGAGGGTAAGGAATATATTCAGAAATTAATGTAATACAAAAATAAGGCACTGATCCAAATAAAAAGAAGTTTTTTGAACTACACAACTTTCCAAAGGCATTTAGTAAACTCTCCTCCTAATCAATTCTGGGCCCACTTTGATGCTCGTTAGCAGTGCCTCTCTAAGATATATGGACTGATGGACTGTTCTGTTTGGGTTGTCCATCTGCTGCAAATCAGTTTATAAAATGTGAATTTTTCATCCATTTTTTCCCACATGGAAGGTTAGGCTGAACACTCTGAAATGTTCCTGGACTTGATGCAATCAACACAATGTCATCCAAAACCAGGAACATCTGGAGGACTGGAGGACTTTGCCTTTTCAGTTGAATTTTGCTGTTCTCTTTCTTAACAGTGGTAAGTATCTTCGGGGAGTGTTTTAGGTCTTGCTTGATATGATTAACTACAGACTGCTGAAGAATGTCATCTCTGCTGTTAGATCTTTCAAGATTTTGTCATATGCGGGAAGAAAACTGTAGAAGGAAAACTTTGAAGGGATCATCTTGGTTACAGAATCAAACACTTTTTGATAGTAAAAAAAAAACCAAACCCTCAAGACAGTGGGATTTTGTATTCTCTAGTCCTTTCAGTAAATGAAGAGTGAATGTAAAGATGCAGTCTATTAGAGTATAGTATTTGTGAAAGCCTTCCTGTTCCCTTATCATACTTCCATTGAGAATGTCTCATATGAAAGGCAGACTAGGGGAAGGGATATTCAGAATGCATGCCATCTTGGGGGGGGTGAGAAATTTGGAACTCAAAAACTTATGGAAGTGAATGTTGAAAACTAAAAATAAATAAATTTATATTAAAGAAAATAAAGACAACTAGAAACATAAAAAAAGAGAATGTCTCATATGTGTGGAGATTATTCTCATAAAGATTTATTAGAGATGAGAGAGTAGACACATGGATTGATAATTAATATTTTCTTGATCACTGCTTTTGTTTTGTTTTGTTTTTTTTCAGTAACAAAGTTCGTGATTGTTCCCCCCAAAAGCTTGGCCATCCTCTTCTCTTTTGAGACTCTTGAGAACCAGGACTTCCTTAACACATTCAAAATTGTGTTGACTCCAGTACAAGCCTTTTCTCTTCTTGCCTTTATTTTCTTTTGTACAATTTCTACTTCTTCCTGAAGCATAATAGGACTATGGTATTAATGGCCAAATATGTATATTGGAGAGAACACAGCAAGGGCAAGTGATGAACTTGGAATAAGGAAAACCTGGATTTAGATTTCACCTCTAATACTTTTTAGGTATATGATCACAATCTCTCTGTTTCTATTTCCATAGATACAGAATAAGAATAAAAAATAATCATAATGCCTACCTCACAAGGTTGTTTAGAGGTTTAAATGAGATAGTTTGTGTAAAGTTCTTTGCAAACTTAAAGCCAGTATATAAATGCTAATTATTCTTACCATCATCACCCTTATTATTTGTAGAGAAAAAAGTTTGTTACGAAGATCTTTACTGATCATTCCATTTTTGCCTATCTGTTGTCTTTCTTCCAGATTTATCCTTAAACATCCCCAGAATGATCTGGCTTAATTGTCTCTTGCCATATTTTCTGTAAACTTGTTTTTTCTTCACTGATTCTCACTCTGTTATGAGGCAACATGCCTCATAACCTTCCACAACGTGCCTCCATTAGAGTTTCTGCGAAAGACTTTCTATTCTAAACTGGTGTTGTCCTTGGCTGCCCTACCTCTCTTCTTATCAACAAGATCAAATGCTGGTTGATGATTTCTAGGTTTTCTTGATTTCACTGTAACTTGATTTATATTGGTTAAACTTCCTTGGAAAATGACAATAGTTTGTGTTAATGTCTGTTCTTTTATTCATTTCCCTTTTTTAAGCATTAATAGTCAACAACATTTATTAAGTGCTTACTGTCATTACTGTTATTAGATGTGGCCCAATGTTCCAACCTGCCAAAATCCTAATTCTATCATTATACATATTATCCAACCCTTCCAGCTTTACTTCACCTTCAAATTTAATACTAATGTCATCTATGCCTTCATCCAAGTCATTGACAAAAATATTAAACAGTACAGGGTCAAAGAGATATCCCGGGGGCACTTCACTAGAGATCTCCCTCCAGGGTGATACTAACTCTTTCATGACTACTGCTTGGGGAATTAATTATCCAAATACTATCCATGGTTAAAGTCAACCAGGAAGAACAACAAATGAGGCACAAAATTGAGGCTAATAACAATGACAAATGAATCCTTACTTGTAAAACTTTTAAATGAACCATTTCCTCTAATCTGGGCTAGAGGTTTCAAGCTACAGTTATCAGACTCTTCCAAGTTACCCATGTTATGCAAATTTCTAAGAGATAGCTAGAAAACTCTCTAAAAAACCACCTCTTCTTCTCTAACCACGTAGAACAGGTTGCACAGTGGTAGAGGACCAAGCTGAGTTGGTCCTGGAGTTAGAAAGTTTGAAGTCCAAATACAGCCTCAACCACTTATTGGCTGTGTAACCCTGGGCAAGGCACTTAACCTATTTGCCTCAGTTTCCTCATCTGTAAAATAGGGATAATACTAGCACCTACCTCCCAGTTGCTACAATTAAATGACACAGTAATTATAAAGTACTTAGTATAGTGCTTGACATACAATAAGAACCATAAAGTACCTTTACCCATGTTGGTTACTATTATTATTATTATTATTATTACATTTATCAGTCAGGCCCATTTCTTTTCAAGAAGCTCACATTCTAACGTGGTAGATGACCTGCAAATAACTATATACATACTGTGGATATACAAGTGTATTTACATGAAGAGTGAAGACTTGTTTTAAATTTTTGGGTGGGTGTTTCTTCTACTACATGCCATATCTTCTCATTTTTATTCTTCCTTATGATTTGGTATTGATTTTGATCTTGCTATAAAGGATCAATGGTCTCCTGAGAAAGCTGATTCAGAAATGACTCTTACATTGGTAACCAGTCTTTTCACATCCATTAGTAAATATAGTCATCCTGTATAGCCTTACGTGGTTGTTTCCTTTTCTCACCCACCTCCTAGCTAAAGGATTGCATCTAAGTAATCAAAAACTCTAACATATGATCTTTACTGTCTAGGAATAGCCAACTTTGTTTTTTGTTTTTGTTTTTTGCCAATTTTGAATAATCGATGGTAAGAGATCAAGTAGAAAAAAACAGAAAGGATCTTCATCATGTAGACAAGATCTCTCACCATATTCCCTCAGCAATTTTGTGTTAGGTAGATTCAGCCTAACATAAGTAATCAATCACAATGTAGAAATTTCAGATTATCTGGGAGAAAAAATATTTCTACCATTTTCCCCATTAAACTTACCAGAGTTGCAAACAAGAAGCAAAATAATTAGCTTTTGTGGGTTTCTGTTCACTTCTTTGACTTTATGCTTCCATATAGGTCACTTAATAATGAAATGGACCTACTGGGAGGAGAAAGATGACTAAATATTTTCCCACATGAATATGAACTTCTTGTTTTGTGGCACTGCCAAGCACCGGAAGTACCATGTGTGATTCACTAAAACTTTTACAACTATCATTATACTGGCTAAGGAAAAGGATTGCCAATGTTGCCTTATAAAAACCCGAATTAAGACACTCCCAAAGCACCATAAAACTTAGATTCAATTTGCAGAGATGCTTAAACATGTTTAATATGGAGGGCAGGGTAAAAGTCAAACAAAACCCAATGAAATAAACTTTTTAATCCTAAAGATTTTCATTTGAACATAAAGAGGAGGCACTATTCTCTGGTGTTAGATTTAAAATCATGAAACCTGGATTCAAAGATTTTGGCTCTGGCACCTGTGTGACCTTGGGTCTCTTCACCTCTGTAGATCTCAATTTACTCATCTGTATTTATGAGGTGGGGGTCAACTTATTGAACTTTAAGGTCCCATCCAGCTTTTAACCTAAGATCTTTCCTTAGAGTTCAAATCTAGTCTCTATTATTTTACAAATGAGATGGAAGCCTAGAGAGGCAAGTGACTGGCCCAAGGTTACAGAGGTAGTAAGTTGCAAAGCTTGGATCCAAACCCAGGATCCAGTGTTCTTTCCATCATACTATATTTCTCCTCCACAGGATAGGAGTAGAGAACAACCGCTGGCAAGACAGCCTGGGACCCTGAACCTAAGGGCCTTTGAAATAGCATTACTTCCCACCCAGTGCCAATAGCCATCATGTTGGGAAGCAATTCCTTGTGGAGATGCACCCTAGCAACTTGGCTGCAACCACACCTACCAAAGACTCAGGAAATTCTTGCCACCAAAGGCCTTAGCAGTGTGTCAAATGGTTCAATATAAGAAACAGAT